AGCCGGATGCCGCCAGCTACATCTTACACGATATACGAAGCCAGCGGTGAAGAGGAATCCGATGAACGACGAGCCCAGTGTCATTTGCTACGCGGCTGGGACCTGGTCATGGCGACGTTGGAGCCAGACCAATTTCCTCACTCCAGAGAGCGGGAGGCGACGCTGGTACCCGACGCATCGGGAAAAGGCGAATGGTGAGCTCGATGGCATCAACTACAACCGACTCCGCGTGGGAAGCTGAAGGGGAAGACGGAACCCGATAGCGACAAAGGCGAGCAATGGCAGCAGGCGCTGGCAGTGCGAGAAGCGTGCAGGAGCGAACGGCACCAGCTACAAAGCGGGAGACACGCAATGGCAACAGGAGCTGGCACTGCGACACGGGCGCGCAGAGGCAAGACATTTGGCACTGAGGAAAGGCGGAAGCGTAGGAGTTGACGTCCGCAGGCACAGTTCTGCGATCAGCTCGTGTGCGAAGGCAGGCAGGGGCACCAGGCGCTGGCAACGCGAGAAGGGCTCGCAGTGGCAGCAAGCTGTGGCAATGCGAGAAGGTGGAAGTGCAGGAGCGAACAATTTTCAGTTACAGTTATGGGATCACCTCGTGTGCGAAGGTCAACAGCGGCAACAGGAATTGGCAATGCGAGCAAGGCAAGCCGTGGCAGCAAGCCGTGGCACTGGGAGAAGGTGGAAGTGCAGGCTCCAGCGTCACCAACTACAACGCTGGGATCAACTCGTGCGCGAAATGGCTGGAGAGCAGCCGTGCACAGCGGGGTTGAAATTCGTCGGGAGCTCAGTGGAAGGCCTCGTGTGAGATGCGGGGGGCGGAGCTGGAGCCCAACAGCGTCGGGCGGGAGCCAAAGCCAAACGTTCTCAGCTGCTGTTTCGGCATGCTTCCACGGCTACATTTCAGGAGGCAGCCCTTGTCGCCCAGGATCGGCCTGGGGGTTGGTGTTGCCTCCTCTCGTCGGCCCTGCCGTCGTGCTCACAACAGGGTTCATCAGGCCACTCGAATCCCGCTCGAATCCTCGTCCTGCTCCTGCTCCTGCTCCTCCTCCCAACCTCCTCATCCTCCCCCTTGTGCTCTCTTCGGCCTCCTCCGTGTCCGCTTCCTCCTCCCTCCTCTGCCTCCTCGTCCTCCTGCTCCTGCCGAGTCTCGTCCTCGTTCTCCTCCTCCTCCTCCTCCTCCTCCTCCTCCTCCTCCTCCTCCTCCTCCTCCCTCCTCCTCCTCCTCCTCTCCATGTTCTTCCATCACCATTCCGCCTCCTCCTCCTCCTCCTCCTCCTCCTCCTCCTCCTCCTCCTCCTCCTCCTCTCCTTGTACCCACCTCCCTGCTCATCTTCCTCGTCAACCTCCTCTCTCCCGCGCCCCTCCCTCATCGGCCCTCTGGACAGGAGGCCAGAGCGTCTGTGCAAGTCCACGCCTGATCGGTGGTGGGATCGTCTCACGCAGGGATGACGCCAGAGAGTCAGGCAATGTAGGGCATCTCGCACGCAGAACTCCGAGCCTACTCCTTCCCCTGTTGCTGGCTGCACCTCATCATCCTCACCTCCTCCTATCCCTCCGCCTTCTGGGGGGTCATCAAGCTCCTCCTGCAGGTCCTCCTTCGTCTGCGCGTCATCGTTCTCATCCTCATCCTCCTCTCCTCATCAGGAATGTGGGTCCCTGTTTATCGGGGCGCGCCCAGATTTGCAAGGTCAAAAAGTCCTCATCCTCCTTCCCCCCCTCCTTCGTCCACCCCTCGTCATCAAGCTTGTGCTCCCCTTCCTCCTTCCCCTCCTCCTCCCTCCTCAGCTTGCTACGCCTTCATCCCCCCCTTCACTGGGCACCTTAACCCCTCACCCTCAACCCTTCTGCCCATGCGACCCCACATTTACAATTACTCAATATGAATATGATACCGGAGAAAAAACCCATCAGAATTTGTTTGGGGCTATAGGGCTATAGGGCTATATGGCTATAAGGCTACTATAAGGCTATTGGGCTATAGGGCGATAGGGATATAGGGCTATAAGGCTATAGGGCTACAGGGCACCGGGCACCCGGGCACCCGGCACCCGGGCACCCACCCGGGCACCGGGCACCCGTCACCCGGGCACCCGGGCACCCCCGGGCACCCGGGCACCCCCGGGCACCCGGGCCCGGCCACCGAAATCGGCCGCACACCGGGCACCCGGGCACCCGGGCCCGGCCACCGAAATCGGCCGCACCTCTCACCTCAGCCTTTAATCCGCTAGGACCCCTACAGAGGCAAGCTCTGATTGGGGAACTACTCTCCCTCTTCCCCTGATGACGTCTTGGGAATGTTCGCCCCCACCCCGCGTACTGTTTTTTACACACAGGGTTCCCCGGTTTCGCCTGCATTTTTCCAAAATGCTGCTCTCGCTGAGGCGCCGGCATCGTTTTCGGGCCCCGCTCGTTCCGAATCGTGCTCCCGCTGCAGCGCTGGCATCATTTCCGCCGGCGCCAGGGCTGCACGCCCGAGCCGGCGCCCAGGCCGGCGCTCTGGCCGGGTCCGGAGCCGGTTCCGGCCGGCGCCGGAAAATCGAGTTCCGAGGCGGCGCCGAAAAAAAGGCATTCTAATACACATTATTCTTTTGAACATGCTGAATTTCTGCTTCTGGCGCCCGGGAGGCCTCCCGGGCCGATTCCGACGCCCAGGCCGGCGCCCGAGCCGGCGCCCGGGCCGGACGCTCGAGCCGGCGCCCGGGCCGGCGCCCGGGCCGGGTCCGGAGCCGGTTCCGGCCGGCGCCGGAAAATCGAGTTCCGAAGCGGCGCCGAAAAAAGGCCATTCCGATACAATCTTTTTGAAAATGCTGAATTTCTGCTTCTGGCGCCCGGGAAGCCTTCCCCGGAGTTAGGTTTTCGCCTGCAATTTTTCCCAAAATGCTGCTCTCGCCGAGGCGCCGGCCTCATTTTCGGGCCCCGCTCGTTCCGAATCGTGCTCTCGCTGCAGCGCTGGCATCATTTCCGCCGGCGCCAGGGCTGCACGCCCGAGCCGGCGCCCAGGCCGGCGCTCTGGCCGGGTCCGGAGCCGGTTCCGGCCGGCGCCGGAAAATCGAGTTCCGAGGCGGCGCCGAAAAAAGGCCATTCTAATACACATTATTCTTTTGAAAATGCAGAATTTCTCCGGCGCCCGGGAGGCCTCCCGGGCCGATTCCGACGCCCAGGCCGGCGCCCGAGCCGGCGCCCGGGCCGGACGCCCGAGCCGGCGCCCGGGCCGGCGCCCGGGCCGGGTCCGGAGCCGGTTCCGGCCGGCGCCGGAAAATCGAGTTCCGAGGCGGCGCCGAAAAAAGGCCATTCCAATAACATCTTTTTGAAAATGCTGAATTTCTGCTTCTGGCGCCCGGGAAGCCTTCCCCGGAGTTAGGTTTTCGCCTGCAATTTTTCCCAAAATGCTGCTCTCGCTGAGGCGCCGGCCTCATTTTCGGGCCCCGCTCGTTCCGAATCGTGCTCTCGCTGCAGCGCTGGCCTCATTTCTGTGCTTCCGCTCGTTCCGAATCGTGCTCCCGCTGCAGCGCTGGCCTCATTTCCGCGCTTCCGCTCGTTTCGACTCGTGCTCCCGCTGCAGCGCTGGCGTCATTTCCCCTGCCATGCCACAGCATGCAATGCAATGCTAGGTTGATACTACGCTTCGCGGTGCTCTTCTATGCCATGCCATGCCGTGCTCTACAATGCATCGCGTACCCTTTTGGGATCATCGCCCTGCTTGACATCCGACTGTGCGAGTAGAGAGGGGATCTGCGCCATGGTAAGGGATGGGAGGGAGGGGTAGGATGTCAGATATGACGCGAGCGCACCTAGCTTGTCATACCCCCTCCTCCTCCTCCTGCTATGCCTGATTATCCCACATGCCCCCCTTCCCCCCGCATGATCCCACATGCCCCACATGCCCCTCGGATTAGCAGGGAGGGAACAGAAGTTCGGAGGGCCAAAACATTAGGTATAAGGGGGTTTCTCTGAAAATGTGTCAGACCAAACCGCCTACACTGATGATACCCAATGCGAAGACGGGGACCTCAGCGAGGCCACGTCTTCATCGTGTTATCAGGGTGAAGGGCTCTTATGTTCGCGAGGATGATCGTCTGGCTTCTCCTCCATCCGTCGACCCACAAACCGCCCTTCGTGAAGCAGCCAGGCGTGCCGGCAAGGCGATCCGATCGCCTCACCCGGACCTGGACGTTCCCTGCAGTGCACCGCTCGTGGAGCGAACGCCTCCCAACAGTGACACGCACGGAGGCAGAAAGATTGCAACATGTGGATCTCGCCTTGCAGTCAGCGTCCTACCAGAAGGTGCGCCAACTAAGGGACGAAGGGGGCTGCCTGCCTCGGCTTCGAGTAGGTTCCCCGGCCTGGGTCTAAGGTCTGAGGAGCGGCCCGACAAGCGCGGGGGACGCGCGCTCCTCGAAGGCTGGGAGGTTCCTCTCGGCCTCCTGGCTGCTGGAGGCGGCCTGTCGTCGGGGAGGGGGAGGGGGAGGAGGGCGCCGAGGAGGAGGAGGAAAGGGGCAGGAGGGGAAGTAGGCTGAGGCCCAGGAGGAGGAGGCGGAAGGGAAGGAGGAGGGCGCCGAGGAGGAAGAGGAGGAGGAGGAGGAGGAGGAGGAGGAGGAGGAGGAGGAGGAAAATGAGGCGGAGGAGGAGGAGGAGGACGAGAAGGAGGAGGAGGAGGAGCTCGAGCGAGCTCGAGCGAGCGACGGCCGTCGGGCGCGGCTGGCGGGGGGGCGGGGGCACCGGAGCATTGTTGTTAATACACATTTGTGCTCACACGATGGAGCTCGATGTCATCCTCGGAGCTGCGCAGGCGGCGGCGGCGGCGCAGCCTGCTGACCAGGGGAAGACTGGCACCCGGCGCGGCGGCGCTGTCTGTCTTTGCATCTATTTCATCAGCATCCTCGCAATTGTGAGGAGCAATCGGTGGGCATGGGCGGCTGACCGGCCCCAGCCTACCATCTTTGGATTCCGCGTTCGGCGTCCGCGGGCCGCATGTGCCACTTCGACGCCCTGGCTTTCTCCTCCTCCGCGTTCGAGGCGACCGTGGCTGACTGGGACCCGCTTATCGGCTTCAAGTCCGTAGTCAACCTCCCCACGCCGGCCCCCCGGCGGCGCTGCCGGCGGCTTCTCTCGGCAGATACGACGAGCCGCTGTACACCCGCGCGGTACGGCTCGCGGGGGGCCCGCGTTGAGGAGGCCTCCCACCCAGGACCTGACGTGGCAGGAGGAGGGGGAAGTGCAGCAGGAGACGCAGGAAGAGGAGAAGGAGACCGACTGCGACGTCGCTGCAGGTATCGTGGTGTGCGTGTTGGGGAGGCCTCGAACCCCGGGCCCGCCCGCCGCGGGCTCCCAGAACATGGACGTCGATCAGGGGACTCGGAGGGGACTCAACTGGGTCCTGACGCTGCCGGGCAACGGCCGCCGGGCACACTGCCACACCTGCGAGGAGTTTGCGCTTGGCGAGCCGCGTCTGCAGACAGAAGGTGCCTCCCGATTATGCCATTGGCACTGCGTGGGGAAGCGCTGGCGACCCACGGCCACGCTGGAAGGCTCCCGTACCACCCCGCAGGCTGAGGTTGATCGTGTACGCAAGTTGCTGGGGGAGGCTTCTATGCAGCAGGACGGGGAGGATGTCTTCCAAGCGGAAGGCGTCCAGGTCGCTCCACTGGGCCCCGGACCCGCGCTGCACGATTCAGAAGACCCCATTGGTGTATCTCAGCTCCTGCAAATGGCGTGGTGGGACACAGTGGACGCGCCAAGCTGTCTCGGACACACGGTCGCCACAATGCGTCGCGTCCCGTCTGGACTGCAAGCTGCCTGGGCCGAGGCCATGGGTAAAGCTCTGAGGGGAAGCGTGCACGGGCAGACCCCCCAGGACCCGGAACGCGCCTGGAAGCTTGTCATTTTTTTTTGCAGCTCGCTTAATATTTGCTGCCGCTGGAGCCCGGGGTGGGCGCGGCGCCAATGGCAAAAGGGCCAAACACATCAAGAATGACATTGCTGAGCGTCTGCATGCATTTTGGCGCGGGGAGTGGCAAGAGCTGTGGGAAGCCGCGCACAGGCGCGAGTTGGTTCGCCGCGTCAACGCTCTGCTCGAAGACGGGCAGGCGGCAGGGGCAGTTGCAACGCTCTGGAGGTCTGGCCAGACGGCTGCAGGCCCAGGCGTCCAAGACCAGCTCCGCGCTCTTTTCCCCGAGGCTGACACTAGGGACGCGGCGCAGGACGACGCGAAGCCGACGCCGCTCGCAGCGGAGCCTCGTCAGCAGCTCGGGGACGCCATCGCCGCAGCCTTCCGGAAGGCTAAGGGCGGCCGCGCGCCGGTTCTGGACAACAGCCGCAAGGAGCATGGGCGCGCGCTGGCTGCCGACGCCGAGGCGGGCGACGCGTTGGTGCAGGCCTCGTCGTCGTCGTCGTCATGGTCGTCGTAGCAGTCGTCGTCGTCGTCGTCGTCGTCGTCGTCGTCGCCGTAGCAGTCGTCGTCGTCGCTCTCGTCGTCGTCGACGGAGGAGGAGGAGGAAGAGGATCACGCGAGGAACAACGAGAAGGCGACGCAGGAGGAGGAGGAGGAGGAGGAGGAGGAGGAATAGGAGAAGAAGGAGACGCCGAGGAGGGCTCCGTGCCGCCGGTTGTGGATGAGCGAGAGTCCGCCCAGGCGGGCGGGGATCGATGATAAGGATGCTTTAATACCCTTGATCCCAAAAGGGCGCCCTGTGTACGCGTGCGCTGCTGTAACAATCAAGATAAGCACAGATACTACACACGCACGCCTGCTAAAACCCTGTATCTCTGACAATGAGTGGTTGCGCACCATCACGGCCACAAAGCCAGCGGCGGCGTCCGCCCGTTCACGGTCCTCGCGCCGTTCCGCCGGATCGTCCTGACCAGGGTGGCCCACACCAAGGCTGCCACGCAGGCCGCGGCAGGCTCCTACCAGTACGGCCTTGGGGTGCCTGGCGGCGCTGATGTTCAGTTCAAGGCGTTGCAAGAAGCTGTGCACGATAGGCCGGGCAGCGTGCTGGTGGCGGTGGACGTGCCCAACGCGTTCGGCACGCTTGCGCGCCGGGGAGTCATCGCATCTTTGCGAGGAGCACTCCCTGAGTACGGGAGCCTGCTTGCGAGACTCTACGCCAGGCCTGCTGTGGGGCTGTGGCGCGATGGCGCCGGTAACACGCATGAGCTGCGCACCGGCGCCAGGGTGCCGCAGGGGTGCCCGCTGAGCCCGGCAGCGTTTGCGGCCACTTTGCACCAGCTGGCGCTACAGCACTTCTCTGCCAAACCGCAGTGGCTCGTCACCGCCTACCTGGACGACGTCGTTGCTGTGGTGCCGAGCGCGAAGGCAGAAGAGTACCTGCGACAGTTGTCCAGGCTGCTGGGCCCAGGCGGTCTTGTGCTGGACCCACGCAAGATGAAGGTGTGGCTGCCCCCTGGAACTGTGCACTGTCCGCCCTCCTTCCGAACTCCTTCCGGCCGCACGTGAAGGACGAGCTCCAGGTGGTGGGCTGCAGCCTGACGCGCCGA